TAATGCGAAGTATGGCAGGCAGGGAATCAACATGTGAAAAGCTACGCGGTGTCATCAGCTCCTCGTCTACCGTGACCAATTACCCAAGGTCTCTTCGTGTGCCCTTTGTCGTCATGTTCGTGGAATTGCTCGAAACGTTGCATGTGAAAATTAACGAGTTTTCATCTTTTCCATAATTTGTTTGTCACTACAGGACTGATGCAAATAGTTTACCCCAACATCCCATGGATTCTTGACGAGCAGGATTACAACTGTAGTGGGAGAACTGAAGAAGAATGGCATCGGCGAGGCACTGTGCGAGAAGTGCAAGCAGTGTGCTCCTTAATTCTTGGAACAACACTGGCGGTAAAGAATGCACAGCACTGTGAAAGTTCTAAGCTGTCTACATATTCCGATGTATTTCAGGTCATTTACATACTATCTATGATGGCCATGGTCCGAGGGAAACTCACAAGGATTCCTTGCTATCGCTTAATGTTCTTTCAATGGATTTCTCGACTTGATGGTATTGCTGTCCGGTGCACTAGTCGTTGTGTACTTCCAAATAGTTAGTTATTCTCTATAAAACATTTATTTTTTAAAATTTTAAAAATTTGGTTAAAAATTTTGCGCTACCTAGTCTATATCGGGTGTACCGTATAGTTCATTTGTATTACTTCTGGAGACAACTGTTTCAAAATAGGCTTCGCACAATGACTTGCTGGCATCGATTAAAGGCAAACTCCCGGATTAATTGGGTGCTATCAGCGCTTGATAGCTTAGCTGCGGAACGACCTGAAAGTGGAAAGGAAAGCAAGAGAAATCTTGGGAACGCTGCAATTAAGGCCTTAACCTTCAATAGGGTCGGATGTGGTACGATGGCGAGAAAGGGCGGTCAAAGAAGACAAAATACGCGAGAGAGCACGTCGTTTGAGAGAGCACGCTGATCTCTACATCAATGCACGCTGATCTCACCACCTCTCGCGGTGGGTGGGAAGCGTTGGAACGGGAGTCGATGGTTGCGGGCCCGTAAGGATTAGCGCCCTAACCGCGCAATTTTTGCGACGAAGCTGGAGTGATCCAGGTACGTACGGACCTTACAATTTCCCCGTGGAATCCCTCCTACTAGTCGGGCTAATCCCGGGGTTTGCCTTTAAGGTCAATCCCGTCCTTTAATTTAACGGAAATAAGGAAGAAGGGTAAATTATGGTGCCTCATGCACCTGCCTCCATTCCAAATTCTAGAAAACATTTTTAAAAGGCGTGGCATACCCTGGAGGGCCCTTCTGTAGAACGCAATGCGGATCTAAGATTTTTCATTGAACTGCCTACTGTATGACACCCTAGAGTAATTCATCAAGTAACTGTGTGCTTTAGACTGGTTCTGTGTTTTGCAGCGACGTTATCCTCAATCTACTCAGCGGACAGCTGGCATGGAGTGCGTTTCTTTGCGATAAGGAAGCTGTTCTGCAATAAAATTTAGCCCAATCTGATTTTTCAGGTGCCTATATGGGTTCAACCTTCATCTGTGTTGTGTTAGGATTCAATCGATTTGTGGAGATGATTCCTTCGATGAAGAGATTACTGTTCCTCTTCCGAGGTACACTACATCCATTGTAGAAAAGTGTTCATATCTCAACCAAAATTTAACAACAATTATTGTAGGCAAGATGGTTTACATGTGGATGGTGCTGAGTATTGTCATTATGCTTATAAGGCCATTTTTCTGTCGACCTCCGCTGTACAACAGTTCGATGGGTACATATACGCCAGTACCATTCATAACAGATGACCCCAAATGGGTAAGAGTTTTGTAGTTTCTGAAAATAACTGCAGTGATTGCTTGAGAAGACGATGAGGTACATTATGGGCTGTATTCGCTATACGATCAATGTGGGCCATCGTCAAGGAGCTGTAACCCATAGCGTCCCTCGTCTTGCCTCGTCTAGGGTCATAGGGTCGAGCTAAGTCACTTTTGTCTAAAGAGATACGTATACCATAAGGGATAAAAACGCGCCGAAAGGCGAACAGGCAGACTCAGGAATAAGGGCACCTATACGTATTCTCAACATCTAAAGACCGGGTACCCAACAGGAGCCCCGTGGCGCGGCAAGAAGGCACAGTCAGCGGATGGGTCTCAGCGCGCGCTGTGCGATGTGAGCGCACAGTGGTGCACTTCATGTATTTAACTTGACGCGAAATCACTACAATACAATACAGGCTGCGACTCTTCTGTTGACTCTTCGTTCTTGCCACGCGACGGGCCTCCTGTCGGGTGCCCTCTGAAGACAGTGACATGGTGACTGGAAGCGGGGCTGTTCGATGATGTCACAGTGATGGAAGTAGGAGATGTCCCAGCCACACTCCCCCTCCGCTAAGGAGTCTGATCTATCCACGACAGCAAATGACATCATTGAATTGTTACCCCCCCCCCCTAATAAGGTGGCTTAGCTCTATGATTAGCCTTGTGTCGCACGTCGCTTCTTCTAATTTAATTGTTTCTGTGCTCACTTACCAACTATATCATTGCCACAACAATAGTAGTAGCACGACATGCTGATATTGCTATGGTAACTTTGCCATAGAAGCTGACGTGGGGTGAAGTTTTGTCCCGGTGGCGTAACTGGTACCACAATTGCCCGGAATGCAAGAGATCCGGGCACGAATCCCGGCTGGCGTGGAACGGACAACTAAGCATTATTGTGATAATAGTAGTATTTTTTGAGCAGCAATAATAGTGGCTTCTGATATTAAAGGATAAAGGATAAAGCATTTGCCGTTGATCAATCCCTTTTGGGATGCGGCACGCATTCTACTTCCATTTGTACATTCGCAGTGGCGTTTGAATGCGATGTGGCCTATACAATGACTTGCGGGGGCCAGCCGATGTTCAAGTCAGTGTTTTTTATCCTCCCAGACAAGTCTGGTACCAATTAACCGACCCCGGAGGGATGGAAGGCCCGAGGCGACTCACGACCCAGGATTTGATCCCCGGACTGTTCGCCTTTTAAGCGTGCCACTTGCCACTGCACCACTTCCGCCTCTCGGCTTCGTGATAATACCAGAAAAAAAACGTGTTCGCCACCTTCTAGACTAGCCATATGAATTCTCGATGCAATCATTGTAATTTGACATATTCAGGAGTCCGCACATTATGCTACACTTATATTGACGATTACGAATATGTCTTCTCTCGGCCCTGCTTGTTTTACCTTATGTAGTGATTTGCTGGCATGTAATGAGATTAAGCAGAAGTTGCTAGAGCGAACATCGATAAGCTACAAGCAGTGGTACGTTCTCCATCAGTTTTTGTGTGCTTGGATGTCTTCCAAAACCTTGTTGTTCACTTTAAATGTAAAACAAAGGACACACAAACAAGATTATGTTTTAAGAAACCCGGAATCAGATAATAGACTGCGCGAAACTGACAATGACTCAGCAATGATTCTATAACGGCTTGTAGATGAGGAATGTTAAAAAAAGAAACATGCAGACTTATTGTTAGCCATGGGTTGAGGAAGTTTGGCAGTTAATGCTACTTCCGGTTTTCACCCACGACCTCCCCCTTGTAGCAAACCCTACCGTAACGTGATCTGTACCTACATGCATTTCCGTCGCAAAAAACCACTTCCGGTCGCCGCCCACTGGTCCATTTAATACGCGAAGATTCCTTTAAACCTAAGGTAACCATCTTCTCAAATCATTGAATGTTCTGGATTTTTTTTACCGAGAATTCTCTACTGAACCTTGCTGAGTTTTCTTTTCACGTCTTCTGCGCATGCATTACCCTGTTCACCATGGTTCCTGCTCTCTCCATCTTTCCAAGGCAGCCAACATTTCTAAGATCCTTGATTTTTGTTACTACGGTTTCGATCGCGCCCTCAGGACGGAGTTACAAGTGTGTCTCACACTTCGAGTGTTTCCTATAAGTAAGCCGTATCCAGTTACAACTGAAGCCACAATGTTTGAATGATGGGAAGAAAATGGCAGGCTAAGCTTTCAAAACACTCCTTTCTCTTCTGGTCCCCCTGTTATATTTTTCTAGCCTTGAAAACGAATGATTTTTTCGTCCCCTCCCAACTTCCTCTCTTGTATCCTCGCATCAGTCAAGTTTAATAAACTTCTTGTGCCTCACGAGGTTGTTTGGTGGAACTTTTATGAGTGGCCCAACTGACGGGGTTTGGACTGAGTCGTAGTCTTCAGAGGCCGTCGGTTCCACTCTTTTGCGAAAGGTCCGCGCACACTAGACGCTTCCGTCAGTTAACCACTTTACTTGTTTGAAAGTTAAAAGTTTCCTTTTCTAAGAACTAAGTTTTAACTGACCAGCGCTCTGTGTGGCAGCGGACCTTTCCGCTCGAAGGGTGGAACCGACGGCCTCTGAAGACGACGATTCAGTCGAAACGTTGGGCCACTAATAAAAGTTCCACCAAACAACCTCGTGAGGCACAAGAAATTTATTAAACATGATTTTTGTGTCGAAGTGAAAAAAGTCGGAAAAAACGCGTGGCAAAATGAAGGCAATTGGTCGAATTAGACACTACGCCATAAAATTAACCATATGTGATATCAACTGATAAGCTGTTTGATATGATGCTAAAGTGCTACACCGTAAGACGTGGAAGTTAAACAGAGAATCCTAGCAAGTCCTCCAGGGCAACTGTGGCACGTTAGTACCTCTGCATTCGCTGCGCGGTGAGCCTCCCGATAGGTCAGCTTTAGCTGCAGCGGACGCTTTTTGAAATACCCGCCGCTAAATTGAGAGCAAGTTTTCCACCCAAGGTCGAGGATGAACTCTTGACCTGTGGATGAAGCGGGCGTCCATACCGCTACTTCTGAGGGAAGATTGATAGAGGATTGAACGCTTTGCAAAAGCAGCTATGTTAAGATTGAAATTGACATGCAAAACGATTTATCTCTAATTGCTTTACGTGGTGGAAGTACAGATCATTTCCAGCTTCTCCTTCAAGCAACGGTCATCTGCTCAAGCAATGCTGTTGCAGCCATCCTGTACAATGTCATGAAGTTCGTCGTGGTCCCCAAAGCTGTCGTTATCATTGCGCATAACATGTGGTTACTCAGCCACGGTAAGTGCAAATGGCTGTTTTCTAAAGTAAACAAAAACATCTGCCCACTAATTTCCGGTCTGAAGCTGCCAGCTTCTGTGTGAAAAAAGATGCACTTTCCTTGATCTTTTGAGAAGCAGTTCTGAAGTCCACTCCAAGTCAGAGCGTTTAAATAATGCCAAGGTGTATCATCACTTTCATAGAGAAATCCTCCTAGAAGCTTCTAGGAAAGTGGTCGAGCAGAAGAGTTGGACAGTGCTACCCTATCCACGTTTGCAAATATTTTGGAAAAAAGACTTGTGAACGCACCGTAAGGGGTTCTGGATGCTGCAGGACCCATGCGAGAGCGGTCCTTACCCTTCAAATGGAAAGGCGGTGTGATGTAGTTCCTTTTTTGAACGAGGCGCTTCCTGAACTGCTTTGACACAACGTCATGATCTCTATAAAGCATAAAGGATAATGGATAAGGATAAAGCATTTGCCGTTGATCAATCCCTTTTTGGGATGCGGCACGCATTCTACTTCCATTTGTACATTCGCAGTGGCATTTGAATGCGATGTGGCCTATACAATGACTTGCGGGGGCCAGCCGATGTACAAGTCAGTGTTTTTTATCCTCCCAGAGACAAGTCTGGTACCAATTAACCGACCCCGGAGGGATGGAAGGCTTGGTTGGCCCGGGCGACTCACGACCCAGGATTCCCCGGACCGTGGTGAGCGTGCCACTTGCCACTACACCACTTCCGCCCTCCATTGATGCTCTATGTCACTTCTATTCTTTTTCCTACCCTACGCTTACCTTAGCGTGAATTGAAACAAGTAACGAATCCCTATATGTAAATCGCTAAGTTGGTCGTCAGCAGTTTGTCGTGATGTGTCAGCGAAATTTCCCTTACTATAATCCTATTGGTATGCAGCTTCTGCCTGGACGCAGCCCTGTCAGAAGCTGATCCAGATAGAATATAGGGTGGCCCTGTACAGTTTTGGCGGGGACCGAAGGTGAGCAAGCTGATAATGATTTGCATGGTGGCGCTCAGCGCAAAGTTCACGAGATCCTGTGGCGCGTGCCAGCAGTATTCAGATGCTGTCTATAGACATTACGATATAAGAGTGGACGCACTATTCGGTGAGAGTCAAAGGTCCAACAGCTGCTAAGATTTGATCGGGCTAAAGCCAAGTGTTCACTCGAGATCCATGGTGCGGCCTTTGCAGCAGTTCCAGTTGAGGTGCTGTCCTTGAGAGATGGTGACGGTTTTTTGAGAATTTCTTCTCGCAAAATCGCTGAATCGTCTCCAAATTTGAAGCAGTTATTAATTAAGTGTTTTCTGACCCACACAAAAATACCAACCTTCAGCTCAAACAGGGGTTTAAAAAATTATAGATTTTTCGAATTTATTGAAGGCAGGTCAAAGATCACGTAATCCGTTTATTTGATAAAATAACGTATACCCAACAGAACAATCAAGTAAACAGTCACTAACATTAAGCAAGTCTAAGCACATTGCCCAAAAATCTCTAAACTCTTGATGCAACTGGGTTCAAGTGGGGGTCAATTAATGATCTCGCCCTCTGGTGGGAGTCTCTCTCTGTAGGCGCCTATTTTCGTGACCCTTTCATTGACATGCGACTTCCCTTAGTGGTTCTGTAATGTTTGGCTCAGGAGTCTGGCCTGGCTGGCTCATTTAAAAGCACTCCATGCTGTCGAAACCACTCCTGCATGTGAGAGGCATGATGCTTTGAGTCGCTGCTCTGCTGACAGACAAAGCCAGGTCGTGTGGCAGCCATGTCTACGGATACACAACATCTTCTAGAATCTAAGTCTATACTACGTATTCCTTAGTTCTCAAAGTCTAAGAAGAGCGCTCGCTGTGAAGTGAGTGGAAGTAGAGTGTGATTGACCAAGCCTGAAACGAAGGTTGATACAGGGTTTCTAAGGTCATCTGGAATGACAAAAACATATTACTGATGCATGACAGCAAGGATACTAGTAATGTACGGCACCACGAGAGGGAACGTTTTGATCCCAAAGAATCAGCTGCCAATTGTGAAACTTGGCGGAGGTTGATAGGCTCAGACTCTACGAGAAAAAAATGACCCCAGCCAACGGCTGAGGTAGTGGTGAAGGCAGTCGTTTGCTGTCATGTTTTGGAAGGTTTATGCATCCGTAGGCTGGGTATTCCTGCCGCACGACCTGACTTTGTCTGACGGCAGAGCAGCGACTCAAAGCATCGTGCCTCTCACATGCAGGAGTGGTTTCGACAGCATGGAGGTGCTTTTAATGACCAGCCAGGCCAGACTCCTTGAGCCAAACATTACAGAACCACTAAGGGAGGACCTACAAAGTCGCATGTCAATGAAAGAGTCACGAAAATAAGCGCCTACAGAGAGAGACCCCACTAGAGGGCGAGTTCATTAATTGACCCCACTTAAACCCAGTTGCATCAAGACTTTAGAGATACTTTGGGCAATGTGCTAGACTTGCTTAATGTTAGTGACTGTTTACTTGATTGTTCTGTTGGGTCATACGTTATTTTATTCAAATAAACGGATTACGTGATCTTTGACCTGCCTTCAATAAATTCGAAAAATCTATAATTTTTCAAACCCCTGTTTGAGCTGGAGGTTGATATTTTTGTGTGGGTCAGAAAACATTTATTAATAACTGTTTCAAATTTGGAGACGATTCAGCGATTTCTGCGAGAAGAAATTCTCAAAGAACCGTCTGTTTATAAATTTCTGGCCACTACTATACGGGGAGGGGCGGAGAGTGATGCTGATATAAGGGGTGATATAAACGAGCGGCTTGAGGACTGGAAGTCACTAAAGTTGTTGTCTAGATGCGCTATGAGGAAGGATTTCATTTCATTCGCGATATCTTTGTCAATATTGAGATCTTTTCGACACTACCTCTTCCGTACCTGTGGTGACAGCAAAAATGCTCGTGTTCAATCGGGAGCACGATATTACTGTTGAGTGTTCCATTTGCAAAGTCATGCCACAATAAGTTGATTTGATCATAACTTCCGGCATAGTGATACCGACGTAATTGTCTAGCTAATGGCTGACAACAAAGCCGTCGAACGTAGTTGAGTTTTTATCCAAACTTATCGCCGCTAAGAAAGTAGGTCATGTCGAACAATGCTGGATTTTATCTGTGTGACAGATCAAAAACTGATTGACTTCATCATACACAGTTCGAGACGCTTTCCTTATTCACGTGAGTCGAAAGCAATGAAAACATGCATGCTGCCTAATACAAAAGCTAGGGCTGTGCTCAACTCCACTAAAGCCTACTTTGAAACGCGCGCGGTAGCGAACGCAGCCAAACTGGTGAACATAATCTTGCTACTTTTTTGTTAAAATATGTACATGGTTTGGAAGTGGTCGTGCCATGTTAGGTGAAAGATTATGAAATTTAAAAAAATTAATTAGATAAAATCGTGATACGCTAGTTTCATCGAGATTTGAAATTAGAGGTAATAGATGGGGCGTCTCTGAAAAAAAGCAAGCAAAAGATTAGAGAAACTCAAAGAACGCTATCCTCCTCTAAACCATACGATTTCGAATTTAGACGGGTTAACCACAGTTGTTGGTGCATTGGTGGTTTCTAGTCAACCAAGTATTGGGTTGATGCATAATTATTTTTTTCGCACCTTCTTTTTTTCGCTTAAAGTGACGTTTTGTTTACTATTCGTTCATGGAAATATTCTTCTCTCTTTCGTTAACAAAGATGCTTATTCGAAAATCATTTTCACATTCGCCATATATGCTCTAACCTTTCGAGAACGTTGGGTCCAACAGACTGTGGTGTGCGGTTGTAGGAAAACATTTTTGAGATAAGTAGCCAATGTCGTGGAAGTATCGGTTCAAGTAACGTTCATATTTCCTGGGCCGAGCTCCTTGACTGGCCGATTGCTGGGCTGGGCCATATTTGACAGTCCTGAAAAGGAACGGCAGCCAGCGGACGGAGATTGTCGACGAGCGAGCTGGATGGACTTGGTGGCCGACGAGTTGAGGGCTGTCGTGTGGATCGTCCCAAGTGGTTGATGACGTGATTTCGCCCTGTGGAAATCGGCGACTGGCTCTAGCAAATGGCGAAGCTGTTGCCTGAGGATTGTGTGTCTACTGACCGCCTCGGGCAGAACATATTTAAACGTGTTTTTTTAATATCTTTTTCCCTGAATAAAATTTGTTGAAAAAAGCCGCAATAGTTATGCATCAACCCAATATAAGGTTCATATGTTATATGTTTGTTATTGCGCAGAAGATTCACCTATCCCTAAGCAAATCTGGAATTGGTAAGATCCTAAGGGTGAGGCGACATGACATAAAAGAGAGTATTGAAAAAAAACATAACTTCCCACGGTGCGGTACGGCCGAATTGTGCTTTTTGACAACCTTATAACTTGTGCTGTAGAGGCGCAGCTGTAGCCATTAGGGGGGGGGGGGGGGATGAGGACACAACATGCGTGGAAAGTTGTGATGTGGATCCTGCTGAGGCTTTGTTAGGCTTTGCGAATCTAGCGATTCGCTAGTGAGTCGCTGGATACGAGCGTTGCACCAGCGAATCAACCTGTGTACCAGGGGATGGAAAGATGAACCAGCGACTCAACTGTTTAAGTGTGGCGGGGCTCCCCCCTCCCAATCAGTACATACCGAGCCCCCCAACATTGAATTCTTCCGCCTCAAATCACCCGAGCTTCTAAGCCCGTAACTCATCATGACCCTCATAGCCTCGGGAAAGTGCGTAGAATCGAAATGTTCAAAGGCAGGTACCTTAATTTCCTGCTGTGCGCACGTCGCCGGAATCATCGATTCAACAATCGCTGGTTAACAGCCCGGTTCCAGGGCGCGATTCGCAATTCGCTAGCAAGTCGCTCGCCTCGCCAGCGAAGATTTGCAAAGTCTGACCCCAGTCCGACAGGACGCCCATGTCGCACGCCGGCGACTGCCTTTTCTGAGCCATATGCTTTAGGGCCAACATTTCTTTTCAGTCATGCATCAGTACTTTTACATATTCACTGCCATTATATTCAGGAATTCATGGTGTCGTTTACGTGTGTGCAAACAGGCAGATTCGCGAAAATGTGAAAGGAATGTTTGG